GTGTAATTAGTGTAGATAGCCTGGTGGTCACGTGGCTAGTTACGGTGTAATTAGTGTAGATACCCTGGTGGTTACGTAGCTAGTTACGGTGTAACTAGTGTAGTTAGCCTGGTGGTCACGTAGCTAGTTATGGCGTAATTAGTGCAGTTAGCCTGGTGGTCACGTAGCTAGTTACGGTGTAATTAGTGCAGTTAGCCTGGTGGTCACGTAGCTAGTTACGGTGTAACTAGTGTAGTTAGCCTGGTGGTCACGTAGCTAGTTACGGTGTAATTAGTGTAGTTAGCCTGGTGGTTACGTAGCTAGTTACGGTGTAATTAGTGTAGATAGCCTGGTGGTTACGTAGCTAGTTACGGTGTAATTAGTGAAGTTAGCCTGGTGGTCACGTAGCTAGTTACAGTGTAATTAGTGTAGTTAGCCTGGTGGTCACGTAGCTAGTTACGGTGTAATTTGTGTAGTTAGCTTGGTGGTCACGTAGCTAGTTACGGTGTAATTAGTGTAGTTAGCCTGGTGGTCACGTGGCTAGTTACGGTGTAATTTGTGTAGATAGCCTGGTGGTCACGTAGCTAGTTACGGTGTAATTAGTGCAGTTAGCCTGGTGGTCACGTAGCTAGTTACAGTGTAATTAGTGCAGTTAGCCTGTTGGTTACGTAGCTAGTTACGATGTGGTTAGTGTAGTTAGTCTGGTGGTCACGTAGCTTGTTACGGTGTAATTAGTGTAGTTAGCCTGGTGGTGACGTAGCTAGTTACGGTGCAATTAGTGTAAATAGCCTGGTGGTCACGTGGCTAGTTACGGTATAATTAGTGCAGTTAGCCTGGTGGTCACGTAGCTAGTTACGGTGTAATTAGTGTAGATAGCCTGGTGGTCACGTGGCTAGTTACGGTGTAATTAGTGTAGATAGCCTGGTGGTTACGTAGCTAGTTACGGTGTAACTAGTGTAGTTAGCCTGGTGGTCACGTAGCTAGTTATGGTATAATTAGTGCAGTTAACCTGGTGGTCACGTAGCTAGTTACGGTGTAATTAGTGTAGTTAGCCTGGTGGTTACGTAGTTAGTTACGGTGTGGTTAGTGTAGATAGCCTGGTGGTCACGTAGCTAGTTACGGTGTAATTAGTGCAGTTAGCCTGGTGGTTACGTAGCTAGTTACGGTGTAATTAGTGTAGTTAGCCTGGTGGTTACGTAGCTAGTTACGGTGCAATTAGTGTAGTTAGCCTGGTGGTCACGTAGCTAGTTACGGTGTAATTAGTGTAGTTAGCCTGGTGGTTACGTAACTAGTTACTGTGTGGTTAGTGTTGTTAGTCTGGTGGTCACGTAGCTAGTTACAGTGCAATTAGTGTAGTTAGCCTGGTGGTCACATAGCTAGTTACGGTGTAATTAGTGTAGTTAGCCTGGTGGTCACGTAGCTAGTTACGATGTGGTTAGTGTAGTTAGTCTGGTGGTCACGTAGCTAGTTACGGTGTAATTAGTGTAGTTAGCCTGGTGGTTACATAACTAGTTACTGTGTGGTTAGTGTTGTTAGTCTGGTGGTCACGTAGCTAGTTACGGTGCAATTAGTGTAGTTAGCCTGGTGGTCACATAGCTAGTTACGGTGTAATTAGTGTAGTTAGCCTGGTGGTCACGTAGCTAGTTACGATGTGGTTAGTGTAGTTAGTCTGGTGGTTACGTAGCTAGTTACGGTGTAGTTAGTGTAGTTAGCCTGGTGGTTACATAGCTAGTTACGGTGTAATTAGTGTAGATAGCCTGGTGGTGACGTAGCTAGTTATGGTGTAATTAGTGTAGTTAGCCTGGTGGTTACGTAGCTTGTTACGGTGTAATTAGTGTAGTTAGCCTGGTGTTCACGTAGCTAGTTGAAGTGTAACTAGTGTAGTTAGCCTGGTGTTCACGTACCTAGTTACGGTGTAATTAGTGCAGTTAGCCTGGTGGTCACGTGGCTAGTTGCAGTGTAATTAGTGTAGTTAGCCTGGTGGTCCACCACCATAGGATGTTAGCTGGTGAAGGGGCAGTTACCCCTTTGTGTTGGTATCAATAAATGTTTACATTATGAGACCTCCTTTGCCAGCAACAAGATATAGAAATAGGTTTTACCCTTTTAACTGGCACAAAAACTGACACCTTTATTTAAGGCATCATGTTTGCAATAACCACAACACAAGCAGTCAAATGCAAACAAAAGAGACAACTCTGATAATAAAATGCACTGTCCTTAAATTTGATTGGTCCACACCCGAGACAGCTTTTCTTAGAGCCTAGTCTCCACTGGTGTTGGACCAGAAGACGCCAAAAGGCATACATCTCAATAACAGCGCACTATCAGAGTATTGAGGGCTCGGGGTGAGCATTTACATTATGAGACCTCCTTTGCCAGCAACAAGATATAGAAATAGGTTTTACCCTTTTAACTGGCACAAAAAACTGACACCTTTATTCAAGGCATCATGTTTGCAATAACCACAACACAAGCAGTCAAATGCAAACAAAAGAGACAACTCTGATAATAAAATGCACTGTCCTTGAATTTTATTGGTCCACACCCGAGACGGCTTTTCTTAGAGCCTAGTCTCCACATGATGCCTTGAATAAAGGTGTCAGTTTTTGTGCCAGTTAAAAGGGTAAAACCTATTTCTATATCTTGTTTCTGGCAAAGGAGGTCTCATAATGTAAATGCTCACCCCGAGCCCTCAATACTCTTATAGTGCGCTGTTTTTGAGTTGTATGCCTTTTGGCGTCTTCTGGTCCAACACCAGTGGAGACTAGGCTCTAAGAAAAGCCGTCTCGGGTGTGGACCAATCAAATTCAAGGACAGTGCATTTTATTATCAGAGTTGTCTCTTTTGTTTGCATTTGACTGCTTGTGTTGTGGTTATTGCAAACATGATGCCTTGAATAAAGGTGTCAGTTTTTGTGCCAGTTAAAAGGGTAAAACCTATTTCTACATCAATAAATGTGTTGCCTCCAAGGAGTACGTCTGTGACTTAGTTGAACTCACTAAATATTCCTACACACCCCCTACATACAATAGAGTCAGTAGTATTTACTGACTCTATATGCCTACACACCCTGCATACAATAGAGTTCGAAGAATCTACGATACTACTGTCAACAGAGTCTGTAGACACTACTATAGAGTCAGTGGAGGGGAGTAGATTGAGGCTAGAGGGGACAGGTAGGCGGGAGCGTGGAGGGGAGTAGAGTGAGATGAGAGGGGACAGGTAGGCGGGAGCGTGGAGGGGAGTAGAGTGAGATGAGAGGGGACAGGTAGGCGGGAGCGTGGAGGGGAGTAGAGTGAGATGAGAGGGGACAGGTAGGCGGGAGCGTGGAGGGGAGTAGAGTGAGATGAGAGGGGACAGGTATGTGGGTTCATGGAGGGGAGTAGAGTGAGATGAAAGGGGACAGGTAGGCGGGAGCGTGGAGGAGAGTAGAGTGAGATGAGAGGGGAGAAGAAGGTGGGAGAGAGTCCATGGAGTGGCATCATAAAAAATGTTGGTGCGACGCTGGAATTGACCCAGGATTGCATTAGCAGCCAGTGGACGGATTTGAGTACCGGGGGGGTTATGTGGGATCAGGTAAACACACACACACACACAAGCTGACAGGCCGATATATTAAGGGAGCCTCAATGTTGTCCGCGGAGCCAAATGCCCAAAATGAATGTGCGTGTGGAGACGCTCGCCCATACAAATGAGTGTGAACGCCCTCACAGCCCTCTCCTTACATTCTAACGCATGCTCGCAACGAGCACAAACTTAATGCGTTTGATATTCCAAATGATTCATTGACAATCTCGCAAACTACCCTGATGTGGGCCATGGGTGTTGGTATGCCTGTACGCATGAAAGTTGAACTTCCTTCGCACCGTACGTAGCCAACCGTGCTCATCGGAGGTGCGGGGGAAGGACAACAAACTCGCACACAAATAAATGGTCAGCTCTGTGGTGAGTTTAGTAGTGGTGTTGGTGAGCTGTGTTGTGAGGTTAGTACTGGTGATATACGCTGGTGAGCTACGTGGTGAGTTCAGTACTGGTGGTACTGGTGCTGGTGAGCTGTGTGGTGAGTTTAATATTGTACTTTTCACGACTAACACGAGGGGTCCCCAGACAGACAGATAGACAGATGGACAGATGGACAACCAGACAAACAAGACACGATATTTCCTGGGCATCTTTTCAGCTCCCTAAAAAAATCAACTGCGGATTTTGTTTGCACCGTGACGTACGTCCATGCACCGCAACCCGCGTTGCCAACCTTTACCATCCGAACAACATATTACGGAACAATGGCGACTGCTGCGTTACACAAATCGCCCACTGGGCCACGTGATACGTTTTCGTATTTCTTCAACGTGCCCGGTCGAGTGGAAAAGGCGAATCAATCGAGCCGGGATGATCGGCCGATGATGTTTATTAATCGGGGGAGGGGGGGGGAGCTGGAAATAGTCATCGGTAAATTATTTTAAAAGGTCGACTACTCGGGCCTGTTTAAAAATGGCGGCTACGCAGACGTCCTCAAACGCGAAGGACGGAAACCCCCCCAACAATCCACGCCCAGCTCGTGACGTGGGTGACGACGATGTTTAGGATGGCCACCAATACGCCTCTCCCTCGAACTGTCACCTCTTCGTCCAGCGGCACCTCCGGTTGGCATGGTTGGCCACGTACGGCGCGAAGGTACGTTCAACATACAAGCGCACACCAGAGGTGAGACCTTTATTTCCCAACTATTTAGTTGTTATCTGATTATCCCAATAATAAAACCGATAACCGGTTAAGTAATTCATTTCTTAAACAATTAATTTGCAGTCTCCGACTATTACGATCCACTCCATCTCCCCGCGTGTGTGCACGTGCCCACGTGCGTGCATGGGCCCGTGTGTGTGTATACGCGTGTGCTCGCTCGCGCGCCCGAGTGTGCGCCCGGGTGTGCGCGCGTGCCCACATATGTGCGTGCGTATGTTCATGTGCGCCCGCGTTTGTGCGTATGAATGTGTGCTCGCGCGCGCTGGCCTTACCGGTGACCTGCAGCTGGGACTTTCCGAAGCCGGGCGTCGCTTCATAGCGTGACGAGGGTCTCGGAGCAGCCATTGCATGGGACAGCGGCTCCCTACAGCCGCACACAAGCACAAAGACGCCCACCCCGCCATGCGGATGTCAGCAGACCGCCAGGGCAGGTGCTGTTGGCGAGCGCCCATTCAGTGCCGGCACGCCGCACGAGACGGGCGGCTGCAGGTCGTCCGGCACTGCCACACCTGGCCGCCTCCGTTTCCCCAGCGCTGATGTTGACGTGACCCGCTCAGGGCACTCGATCGTTCACTTTATTACAAGCGGAACCAAATGTGTTTTTTCGTTGGTTTAATGTGGTTGCAGGGGTCAAAGAAACCCCCTGCCACCCCCCCCCCCCCCCCCCAACTAAGTGTGCAAAAAAAATGAAAAATCTTACAATTTCATAACAGGCACATACAGTTTGTATAAATCATAGCAGTCCCTGCCACAGTTCACGCGATGTATGATAGGGTTATGGCCGAGTAGACCACGGGGCTGAGCCCGGACAAGTTCTGATGCGACTCGCCGCAGGCGCGAGCCGTGGCCGGGAATTTGAACCCCAGGAAGCCGAGCTCAGCAGCACGCAATCATCACACAGCACCCCGAACACAACACCCACGTGACCTCCTCCCCCCCGCCCCTCCCCTCACACCCCCCCCCCCCCACCCCTTTGCCGGGGACATCTGCACGGTTCGGGGAAGGTCGGTGCAGGGCGGTTGTTGGCTGTCGGTTGTGCACGGTGCGAGCTTCCCCTCACTAGCGTGTGCCCACGGGCACCGGTCAAGGGAACCGACTGGAACGTCCTGCCCCACCCCACCCCCACCCGCCCGGCCCACCAATCCAGGGCTGAATTTCAGCCGGGTCTGCCTCGGTGGGCACAATAGTTCCACGCCTCCCGGCACACCACAGTCAGTAAAGCTCTCTCGCTATAAACTAAAACTATGTTTTTTTTTATTTTACCAGGTAAGGCCCACTGAGCTGTACAGCTCTTTTTCAGAAGCGACTTGGACACAAATGATAGCCCAATAAAGAGGCTCATCACATGGCAAATTATAGCCACCAAATATTCTAAAACACAACGTTTATAAATGTGGAGGGGAAAACCAGAGGACCCGGATAAAAATCCACGCAACCACGGGGAGAGTGAACATGCAAACTCCAAATATACAACAGGTGTCAGGGTCTGGATCGAACCCACGATCTCCTGCATACCAGACGAGGTAGTTCACATCTCACCACCGTGGCGATAAGGCTGCAGCTACGAGTCAAATATTCCAAACTACCGGCGACTCGGTATTGCTGCGCCCGGTACACCACATCCAGTATACTTTTCTAACTATGGCTGCGGCTACGAGTCATGAGCTATATATTCAAAACTATCGGTGGCTCGGGAAATATTTCCGCACCCGGCACACCACATCCAGTAAATTATGGCTGGGGGGGGGGGGGGGGGGAGGGGAACGGCAGTCTCTTGGTGCCTAGTGGGAGGGAGCACTTGGAAAGGAAGCGAGTGGCTCAGATGCGAGCGGATTTAACCCCGTTTTGAACTTGGTCCAAAACAAACACACACACACACACTACACGTGGCGCTCTGCAACGGGAAGCGATAACTCCTCTTCCTTCCTTCCGTCCCGCTGGGCAGTCGGATTCAGCCGCACGGCACGTTCGCGACGAAGCGCATCTCATCGTCACCATGGTGGTGGTGGCAGTGGTCGGAGGCAAAGATGCAAAGTCATTCGTGGAGTTGGCCAAACATCCCAATGTAGGGCCACAGAGCTTGGGAAATTGTTGGCAGCGGCAGTTCGAGCGGCCCTCCCGCTGTGCCCGTGGTTTCCCGCGCCTACGAAACAGACAACAAACTGTGCGGCGCGTTACGGATTTGTGCTTTTATTTGATTTGTGTATCGACGATAAATCCACTGCTGGATGAAGCCCCCCCCCTCCTCCCCCCATCTACGGTCTCACGACACGACTCTCCATCTCCCGCCTGCACACGAGCCAATTTACTCGCTCCGTCTCTCAGCAGTGGACGTGCTCTCGGCTGTGTATCCCATACGCCGCCTGCCTCTCCATCACGGTGGCAGGATGTTAACTCCCTCGCCTGGGATGCAGTAGGTCGTGGGTTCAATCCCAACCCTGACACATGTTGCATATTTGGAGGTTGCGTTTCTCTCTCTCTCTCCGTGATCGCGTGGAATTTTCTCCAGGTCCTCCGGTTTTTATCCTCCACATTTAGCACCAACATCACGCGTTTGTAGAGTATTTGGCTGCTGTAAATTTCCACACGATAAGCCACTTCGTCACTGCTACCATTCGTGATAGCCAGGCCACTTATGAATGAGGGCTATGGAGCTCAGTGTGCCTTACCTGATTAAAATTAAAATAGCAACAAAAATAATAGCAGTCTCACTCACCGGCCATCACCATACCTCCTGGGGACGCATCCTGCCCCATACCCATTACAGCAGAACCATTAATCACTGTCATCATCACGATCATGAGCCACGGTCAATCTACTGCTGGATGAAGGCCTCCCCCCATCAAGCCGGCCGCCAACCCTCGCAAGCCTCCAACGTAACAATCCACTCCAGCACCTGCTGACAAGCCGATGATATCACTGCCCCCTTTCTCTTCACGGCTTCGCGAGCAGCCGGTGCGGAACCTCGCGCGCGAGTCCCTGGTTCATTATTTCGTTCGTGGTGAATGAAGAGAAACAAAAAAATTGATCCCAACGCGCCGTCGGCTTCCATCAAGATCCCGACGACGTTCACAAGAGCGGGCCGATAAAAAAATATATATAATTAGTAAATCTCCGCAATTGGGATTTCTTCCCATCCCTAAGCTCCGCTTTCAAAATTAACTCCTAGCATTTATTTTGCAAAGCTCTTATAATAATAATAACCACAATAATAAAAAATAGCCTGGTGCAAACCATGAAACCTGTTACACTCTTAATCTATTACAACTTGAACTGTGCTGCTTGTTTGCTGGCCACATGGGGTTGTGAGCCTTGGGGGGGGGGGGGGGGGGGGGGGGGGGGAGCCTGCTCCTAGCAACGCGACGATGACAACAACAAACAACAACAACAAAAACAACAAATAGCCCCGACTACATTGAGGCGACGGCACTTTGCGATCGCACGCACACGTTCTCGCCGGGGCATCCCACCGCCCATTAACACGGCGACGGAAGACAAGCGCTCGGCGGAAGACCGAACGGCACCGTCGTGCCCCAGGACGCGCGGCTAAATGCCCAACCCCCAAGTGCGTGGACTTTAAAACAACAACAACAACAACAATAAAAAGTCAAGGAGTCCGCCACGTACCAGGGCGCAACGACTCCGCCACGCACGCGCAGTTCGACGCACGAATTTGCTCGGTTGTTGCGTGTGTACGCAAAGATATCGGGCGCAACCGCACTTCTCTGCCACAGCCTCGCACGCCGCTGCCGCCACTGCCGCCACTGCCGCCGCTGCTGCCGCTGCCGCCGCTGCTTCTTCTTCTTTCCTCGCGCGATCCTCACCGCGAGAAATATTACATTCGGGCCGCGACGTGCCAAAATCACTTTCTCTCCCCCCCCCCCCCCCTGCCACCACCAAACTCGACCCCCCCCCCCAGTTGAGTTTCTCGACCGTCGGAACTTCGTTCACGTGCCAGCGAGCGCCCTCGCTACGATGCGTGCATCTTGGCACGGCCGACGCGCGCGAATTCGCAGCTGACGAAGACCAGGGAACAACATCGGCGCTTCCCATTTCGCTGAAACGCATGTCTTTCTTTTTCGCGCCGGTTGCAGCGCTGTGCGGAAGCAGATGCTTCCTACGGACATTATCCCCGCCTGTTGTCCTGCTCCCAGAAACCAAGAGACACTGGCAAAGGGCAAAGATCCCCCGCCACCCTGGAACCTGAATACTTTCGGGGCAAGCGCAGCTAGCGAGCAGCGCCTATGTACGATGCGGCACGTGAAAGAAGGTGGCCAGCACCACGCCCAGCCGCCTTTGTCTCCCCAGTGGCGATGTTTACACATCGCACCAGGAATTAATTTGAGACCGAGTCGACCTAGGGGAGACCCAGAACCAGCTCAGATAACCTTCACCAGAGTTGTCCGCGGACGGGAATCGAAATCGGGCCGCCGGGTTCGTCGCGCGGCGTAGCGCTAGCCGCCACGCTACCGCTCCTCACACGCAGGCGCACACACACGCAGGCACACAAAAGACACAGGCACACGACAGTCGCAGACACATATCCTGCGGGGTTGAAAGTGACATCGGATGTCACTGGAACCCAGCGATCTCGCACAATCGTCACTCGCTCTTCCCCAGGGGAGCTCTCGCAAGGACACGGGACGTGACGTGCGTGCACCAGCAGGAATTTTGACCGCTTGAACCGTACATGCTCTTGTTTTTAGTCTAGATATTTTATTGCTCGTGGGTTTTTAATGCCGGCCCCCGTCGCCACAAACACTCACTGGATGAGTCGAATCACTCGCTCGCCCGCCTATCGATCTTCTATCGCCAACTATCGCCGGCGAACCGGCGTCCCTCCCGCGCCGCACGCGGACCTTTAAACCACCACACGCGGGCTCTATCGAAGGGGCATAGCTTCGCACGTGCTGTCACAGTAGCAGAGAATATCATTCCAATGTATCATGCCAATGTATCATCCCATTGCATCATCCCAATGTATCATCCCAATGTATCATCCAAATGTATCATCCCAATGTATCATCCCAATGCATCATCCCAATGCATCATCCCAACGTATCATCCCAATGCATCATCCCAACGTATCATCCCAATGTATAATCCCATAAAGAAAATGAACATCTCCCGTGCTGTGCCCAAAACTGTCAATATATCAATATATATATAAACTTATATTCTTTGGGTCTTTCGGTAAAGTCACGTAGATAGGTACAAATTAATAAAAATAATAAATATAAAATAAACAAAAAACTACCACGTTTCGATCACAACAAAAGCGATCGATTGTGATCGAAACATCGTGGTTTTTTGTTTATTTTATATTTATTATTTTTATTAATTTGTACCTATCTACGTGATTTT